GTCGAGTTTTCGAAGGGGTGCAGTTTTGTTTTCCAGTCTGCCCGTACACGCTCCGCCGCGTGGGTGTCCGTTTAATTATCGAATGTAAATAGGTTCGTTAGGGTGACGTTTTTAAGCGGGAACGAGCGCTTCCCTCGTACTCGCTCGATGCTCTCGAGGACGAAACGACCCGTCGTTGCGTCCCTCCGAATTCCTCCACCTCGAATACCCACCGCTTCGCCAGCCGTGTAAGATCGTATCCGCCACGATCGATCACACTTGCTCGCTAATCGATTCGCGGCTCGTCCACGGCAACAGGTAAAAGTTGCACGAATAAACGAAACGTTGCGTTGCGAGAGGTATTGATAAATTCGTAGCGATTGGTAAATCGTGCGCGACCGAGGCTACGATTTCCTATTCCAGACGCGGCGTGTTCGCCTGTCGGCGCCGATATGAATTTCCGGAACAAGAGTGCCACGAGTTTTGCTCTGCCGGAGGAGAGTCGCAGCGACAGCTCAAAGGGACACTCGGTTTCGTCGCGCGGTTACACGCGATTCCACGCGCGTTTTCTGTCCTCGCCGGTGCCTAAAGATAGAAACTTCGCGCGACCGATGTTTCGTTTTTCCATATTCGCAACCCGCGACATGGTTCGCATCGCGTTCTAGCGTTCTAGCGACAGGGACGACGCGACGAGCTGGAAGAAAGGGACACGCGAGACGGGGCAACGGAGTACGACAAAAGGAGCAAGAGGAATTTTTCGCGAATATTTTCGAAACGTTTACACGGAAACGTTTGGAAGGAAAAAGTGGAGGTGGCAGGTCGAATGGATGGCGCGGAAGGCGGGAAAAGGAGAGAAGGAGAAGGGCGAGGATTCACGGGTACGGACACGTAGCGGTCGTAACGCACGAACGAATAGCCGAAACGCGGCTCGCGGAGTTCACAGGGAGATTTATGGGAGCGCGTGCGCGCTCCGATCCGCACATGGACCGCGAATAGAAGCATCCCCTTGTTTTCCCTGGCATATCGTCTCGTAACGCGTGTCCCGTCGCGTCGCGTAGCGCGTTCGCCTCGTAAAGAAACGGAAAGGATCGCGTCGCGACGCGGAACGGAAGGAAAGGAAAAGAGATAGATAAAGGAGAGGGAAAAGCGAAGGAGTAGAGAAACCGGCGGAGGAATCGGAGCGCGGAAAAGAGGAGGAGGAGAAGGGAAGGAAAGCAGAGAACGGGCAAGAGGGTTGGGTGGGGGTGTGAGGGCTGGCGAGTTCGGTGGCGGCGGCCGGTCGACGGGCGGCGAGTTTCAGTCTGTCCTGCGCCGTCGAAACGAAGGAAGCGCCGCTCGTCGTCGAGCGCGACGACGTCGAGCGCGACGAGTCGACGAGCCGACGAGCCCGTGGCCCCCCTTAGTTCGCGTTCGCTCGCCGTCTCGACCGCGACCGTTTTCTCCTTTTCTTTCGATTCCGCGAACGCGCGCGCTCCTCGCTTTTCTCTTCCTCTTTTCCTATCCCGGTTAGCCCCGCTTACCCACCGATACCGATCGCGCCACCCCCTAACTTTTCTGCCTTTGTCCCGTACGTATCTCTCTTCCTACTTCCGATCATCTCCTTTCTCTCCTCCCTCCCCCTCTCTCTCTCTCTCTCTCTCTCTCTCTCTCTCTCTCTCTTTTTCCCCCTTTCTCTCCCTCTCTGTCTCGATCTCGACGTCTCTCCCTCTTCTCTCCTCGTTTCTTTCTCCGTTTCTCCTTTTCCCACCCTATCTCACCCATCGCGCTTCTCTCTTCCGCGACCACCCTCTTTCCGTTTTCTTCCCTTCCTACTTTCCTTCCCGTTTTTTACGCATTCTAATCGCGTATTTTCCTGCTCGTTTCCCATGGCTCTTGCCATTTCGTACGACCGTCGAGTCGACGCGATAGAGGCGAATGTTGGAGGCTGAATTTTCCCGAATAACTGTGAACGCGGCAATGTTGGATTTTTCGCCACGGACTTGCTCCAGAGCCGCGCATCGACCACCTTCCACGAGTCAAGGTACGTAGTCCGACGATTATCCCTATTTTCATCTTTATCATAGGTGTTTGCGCGAATAGGCGATACGTCTTCTTCTCTTATACGTAAACGTTCGGGCGTTTCGACGGATAGTTAAAGAACCATATACGCGTTATGGTCGTCACGGATCCGACGCAGTGGGTCTCCAAACATTCACCGTTGTTTTCGTTCCATTAGTCGATTCATTTTCCGAGAAAACGTTTTCCTAATCGTCGATCTTGGAAAAGAAGAGAACAGACTGCAATCGAGACCCGTAATCCTTGCGACACTTTCCCTTTTTTTTACGCCACATTCGACGTTCGTCCCGCAACAAATTTCTACCCGTTTTTCCGCTTTTATATCGTTCGTTGCATTTTTAACGGTCGATGGAGCCGCTTAAAGCTCGACGTTCAATTTTTAACGAGAGTCATTCGTTGACGTTTCCAGCGCGACTTTAAAGCGTGTTTTTAGAACGGTCGTAATTACGAGACGTCGTCCGAATCGAGAAAAACGGTACCGTGGATCATATTGTACTCAGCTTCCGCACGTTAGACGATTACTAGCGCGAAAATTGTATCGTCGTAAAAGAAATCGTCGTACGATGGATCTTGGTCGGTTTGTCGTTCTATCGATACGTCCCGTATACGTATCACGCGTTTGCTTGTCTTGTCATCTTTATTAGGCATCTTGGTCGCACCGCGACGAAAACAAGCGCGTATCGTCGTTGACGATTAACGTACGTAACGATAAAGTAGTAATAACAAATCGACGTAATCGAATCGAAAGAGACGAGCTCTGTCGGTAATTTCGCGGTGCGAACTTGGCGCGTGGAAATGAAGGGAAAACGAAAACCGAAATAACCTTGGTTCGTAAGAGCGAGATGGATGGTTTTTCGAGTTTGATTGCTTTTAATCGGCGAGAAACGTCAAGGACGAGGATCACGTAATACGCGTAAAGAGAATGACGTTCGCCGAGGGAATTCGATGGTCGCCGCTGTCGCGTGCGATGAACATTTTTCCACTGTAGCGTCGCGTTTACGTGGCTGAATCGAGTTTGGAAAATTTAAAAGGATGGTCCGAGCTTCCTGTCGGAGGTTCGGTACGGTTCGCTGTACTCGCTACCAGGGGGAATAAAACCGCATCGTTCGATACCGGTTTACGGTTTCTGGTAAAACTGGACGCATATAGATCGGATAGAAACGCGAGTTTCCCTCCGATTTTCCGAGAGTTCGCCGAACCTGCGGTTTCCATTTCGCCGCATCCGCCCCCTCTGTCCCTTCGATGCATCACCGGCCAATCGGTCATCCTCTATCGAAAGCTCCGTATAAAACACTTTCATAGTTTTTCGCGGTCGGTAAACGTCCGGATCGTGCTTCCGTTGCCTGTATATTTTCCACGAGAGTCATCATCGCGCAACGATGGAAGAAAGTTGGGTAAAAACGCGCAACGACCGCAACGGTTTAGACCGGTTTCGTATCTGGAACCGTCGAAAGTTATTCCATCTCTCGTTATATTTTACGGTGAACGCGATATCATCGACGTTGCATGGGAGGTTTATCGATAGCGTGAATTCGTAAACGCGCAGCATCTCCAACTCGTCTTCGTTTCGTTGCTCCTTTACTCCTGCCGTTTGCGAATTTAATCGGTTCCCGAGTCCGCTTGGAAAAAGATCCTCGTAGAGAGAAACGCATGAACTATGTATCACGAGTACGTCACCGAGTCAGTCTCGAGGGAGTTAAAAGAGAGAGGGTGGAGCGAGAGAGAAAAGGAGGGGAAATAAAAGTCGCGAGATGCCAGGCAGGCACCAGGCAGGCACCAGGCAGGCACCAGGCACCTGGCGTTAGGCGCCATCCTTGAACTAGGTCGCCTAGCGTATCCTGCAAATATCGCTGCTTCGTCGACGACAAATACCTACCGTCGACTCCTCTCATGAATTGCAAATTCGCGCGTGTTTTCTTTTTTTTTTTCTTCTTCTTTTTTCTTCTTTCTTTCGCCTTCGCTGTCGCTATTGCCGCGTGGGTTCAGCTCGAATTTCACCCGGAGAACAACGTATCCGATTGAACGATTTAATCGTTAAGTCGATCTTCGAGTCCGGTATCATGGAAAAAAATATTCGCGTAAAATATTCACCTATGACACGCGCGACTCATCGGGAATTTCGTCGATTCCATCGACGTTAATTCCGTGGAGCCGTATGATGGAACGGTTTCATCCATCTTCTCGGCTTTCGTTGTCGATGCGTTCCACCGGAAGATAGTCACCGCCGTAATCGAATCTCTTCGTGCGTGGTTGTTGGTCGGTACGAAGGAAGCAATGGATCGACGGAAGGATTCGCTCCGGTGTCGTTTCCCTACGCGAACACGTTCATTTTTCCCGTACGGGTTTCACTCGGGAAACCCCTCCGAGAGCGTTCGTATCCGATGACGAAGCGCAAACGTTCGTCGCGCACTCGTCTCTGATCCGATTCGGCGGTAATTTTTCTAAGCGGTTGCTCCGATCTTTGCTTACAGGTCGTACCTAACGATCGCGAGCAAGGACACCGAAGGATCGGAAATCTCGACGTCGCGACGCCGAGAGCGACGCCGAGAGCGACGCCGAGAGCGACGGCGACAACGAGGCCGGTGATAGAGCCAGGGATAACGACGATAGCAACGGGTAAACGGGCAGATGTAATCCGAAAGGCGTCAACGACAAGCACGAGGACGAGAAAATCGCGTGGATCTCGACGAAGTTTGTTCTAAAGTTTGTTATCGAAGGAAAAAAGTGCCAAAGAACTGTGGAAAATTAGCTGTAAGGTAAAGATCCGCGGGACGCGGAGTCTGACGCGCGCGGCAGAATCGGGAGGACGGGATAGGAAGGCGAGAGAGCGTGGATCGATCGAGAAGATCGCGGTGAAAAGGAAAATCGAGAGAGGATGAGAAACAACGTTCCACGAGAGAAAGAAGAGTGGCGATAGGCGAAGGGTAGAGAACGTGGATCGGGCTGAATCCGGGTCGATCGGTGTGATGGTCTCGGGGTGGTGCCCGTGCGTGCCGATCGGCCGCCGGGAATCACCGGCCCAGCAGCAGTCGGCCTCCTCTTCGAGGAGTTTTGGAGCCGACGGTGCACCCTTCACCGTCAGCGCGGCGACCGATCGCGCAGAGATGGTTCAGATGTTTTATTACGAAAATCGCGGCAAATGCTGCAAGAAGCTCCTCCGATACAACGGATATCCAAACAAGGTAAGCGAACGTATTCTTTCCATCGATTTTCATCTTTCCAAACTTTAAAACGAAAGCTAGCCTGTTCATCGTGCACCCGTACTGAAAAAGGAGACCTTTGGATCTCGGTCACGCGCGTTTTACATATATCTTTTCGTCGTTTCGTTCGCTTCGAAACAACGTCGGAGCACCAACTTTAATTTTCTCCAAACGACGTTTCACGCTGCTCCGGAAGAGTTTTCGGGACCGAAGAACGTAGAAAGATTCCCGTTCCAAGTTCACGACAGGAACGGAGACGAAGAAGGGAAAGAAAAGCCCCCGGGGAAATAAATCGATTCGCTATCTGAATAGCCATTATGCGGACGTGGCTTGGAGGCAAGCACGAAGGCCGGGAGGTTGGTAGGTTGGGACGTTGGCTCATCGGTAGCAGCAGCCAAAGCGCGCGTACACTCGGAGAACTCGGAAGACGAAAGGCGAAAGAGGGAGAAGAAGGGTGGGTTAAGGGGCAAAGGAGAGTCGATGCCTTAGCCGCGTTGCTCGTGGAACTGGGCTAATGCTTCGGAGTTTCAGAACTCGTATCGGCCGGAATTTTCTTTCGATAACCGAGTTATTATTCATCACGGCCATTTATTACCCTCGCTTCGGTTTTCCTTCTTTTCTGCCCTTCGAATCTCGTTTCGCCCAGCCGAATCACCGGCGTTCTCGCGATTCGTCGCCGGTCGAATTTTCTTTTTTCGCCAGGGGAAAAACGAGAGGCCGCGTTCGGACCAGAAACGAGAGTATCCGACGTATTTTTACGAGAGGATATTCCCATCCTCGATCGCCCGTAAAATATCGCATCGAACCACGCGAAAAATGCTTGCGTTCTTCATCTTATCGTTCCAGCTGTTTATCCTCGTTTCATCCACGACTTTTCTCCGACGAAATATTCTTCTTCTTCCTCTTCTTCCTCTTACGCGCCGCGACAATGCGTTCAACGAGAAACACGCATATGTAGGTGTGCGAATCGTAAAACGACGATATATTCCGTCCTCGCGTCTACGATTCGTGGGTCTACGACGCGGCTGATAGTTCCTCCTTGATGCAATCTCTCGAATATGTACGAGTAGGATTAAAGACTCTCCTCTCTCTCTCTCTCTCTCTCTCTCTCTCTCTCTCTCTCTCTCTCTTCCTGTCTCTTGAGAGGAAAGAGTCCCCCGATTTTATTTTCTACGATATACGAGCGTCCTTTGTCTTTGGCCACACCGGACAGTCGATGCGACGGCGATAAGAGATAACGACGATGACTCGTCCGTCGCGAAAAAAACAAGCACGCTCACCGCGTGTTATTATTCCTCGGTTCCTCGTCTTTGAACTTTCATTTCGAGTTACTTTCGCTTGCACGAGCATGTATCATACGAGGAGAGGCATAGCCAGCTAGAGAAAAGAGGAAAAATTGAAGGCGTATTCGCTGGTGCACGCTCGTCGCAGGTATCCGAGCGATGCAGTCGGTAGTCTAGATAAAAGGGAGCATTGTCTAGCTCGTTAAATGACCTAAGCGGTGACCTCTCTGACTTTCAGTGTCGCAGACGTTCTTTATGTCGGCACGGTTAAAGATATCCCGGATGAAAGGGTTTCGTTTCCTCCACGGCAGCTTTACCTTTTCACGCGGGTGACACACGCGCGAGCAAACGAGAGGGAAAAAGTCACGAGATGATCGAGGAAAGGAAAAAGGTCGCGAAAGCTATTGCCTTCGTTTATCCATTCACCGTTTCGCTCTTCTCCGTTATTTCTAATTTCGTAAAAGGCTCGTCAACGGGCACAATGTCGCGCAATCTCGAATACCTAGGAAAAGAGAAAATCGTCTATCGTTCGTTATCGTTTTTCCCCGTCGGCCCTAGCCTGTCGCGTTTTGCTTCGAAAACGATCGCGGTTCCGTTCCGCTTTGCCACGAGCGATCGCGTGGATGATAAACGAGCGACAAGCTTCGAGGCTTGCAGTTTTATCCGGCCAAGTTTATCTCGTTGTCTCCAACGAGAGAATGAAACGCTTCGCGTTCTCGCTCTCCGTGCCGAGTTATTATCCGTGTTATCGCCAGCTCGTGGAATGCGCGAAAACTACGGAAACACCGATCACCGCGACGGCCTTTGATCAATTATATTGTACGTAGTATCTGAAATGGTAATCGGCTCGTGCCGAATAAGAGCAGCTTTCCATTGTTTCGAAGTGGAAAAACGCGACGGTGGAGAAAGAAATCGCGTGGAACGCGTGTACGCGACGCGTATACGTGTCCGTGTGAAAAAGAAAGGAATTCCTGGATACGAATGCGGTATCGAGATCGATGCAACCGCTAGAATCGAGGAGACTGGTTTGTTCTCGAGCCAAGGGACGTTGGAAAACTCCGATAACGGATGAACCCGAAGACGAGCTCCCCGGCTGGGTGAAAAAGCAGCGCTGGCAAAGAAACGTCCCGATTCTTTCTCCGAAGAAGGTGGATCTAGCGTGGATCGCGACGAAAGTCGAGCGGAATTCGAAAAGATTCGATTTCTTTCGCTCTTGGCGTTGTAACGAACGCGAGAATCGACCGGATTCGTTTTTGTTCGCGATAATATCGTATCGTCGCGGTGTTTGACGGGGCGACGAAAACAGTCGCGTTCTCGCATAATAACCGCGTCGCATTTTCCCCGAAATGCGAAATTCCTTTCTTCTTATACGCTACGTCGTTCTCGCGCGTGATCGATCGTGACGACGGGGCAACGGGACAAAGCGCGCGGCCGGATGATATCCGCTGTGACGAAATAAAGCCCGCGCTAGTAGCACGATCAGACGAAGTAGCGGAGACGCGAGAGTGGTAAAGGTAGCGGAAGAGAGAGTGGATCCAGGAGCTAACGATACGAAGAGAGACGCGCGATGGAAGGCGGCTGGACAAGGGTAGGGAGAGGAGGATTCGAAGCGATGGCAGGAGCAGGAACGGCAACCGAATGAGTGCGGCGCCGCGCTGACGGGGCTGTGGCGGGTGGGTTAGAGGCGGAGAGCCAAGGGGCTAGGGGTTGCAGGAAGGCAGAGGGAGCGGGATCCAGAGGTTAGGACGGCGGGAGGGATGGGTAGAGCGAGAGAGCGAGAGAGAAGGAGCGATGGCAAGGATGTGGAGCGAGGAAGTGGGAGGATGGCATGGGGTTCGAGAGAAAGAGAGAGGGGCGAGAGTAGGAGGGTGGGGGGGGAGAGAGAGAGAGAGAGAGAGAGAGAGAGAGTCGGGGAACAGGGAGAATCGCGGAAAAGAGGCAAGAGGGTGGATATTCCAGGCTGCACCCCGTGGCTGTCCCAGCGCATTGCCATGGCAACCGACCCTGAAACACCCTGCGGCCGTCGCACCATCGGAGCTTTGCTTTCCGATGATAGTAATAATGTATCCTCGCTTTCGTTGATGTAGGTCGCAGGACGTTACCGCGTTACCAACGGAAGACCACTTTTTCCATCGACGTCCTTCTTTCTCACCGGTCACGATTTACAATTACCACGCTTTTCACCATGCTTTTCTCCTTCCTCTGGTCCTGCCTCTCCGCGTCTTCTCCTCCTCCTTCGCCTCCTCCGCTTCCTCCGCTGTTTCTTTTTTGCCCTACTCGAACTCCTTCTCCTTCCGTTTTGCCCTTCGGCAGTACCAAAGCTTTCCTGCCGTTCTCCGTCGCGTTTTCCACATTCCACGAGTCGTCTGTGACGACTTCTCTTCACCGTCGCGATGACGATCGTCGACATCGGTTATCGACTGGTTTACGCGGATGAGGGTACCCGCGAGTACGATCGACGAAACGTTAGCGCGGAAACACCGTCGGGACGTTTGGTCGCGCGTGAAAGACGCGATAGGGAAAACGAAACGCGAACGAGAAGAAAGAAAAACGGAGTTTGAGTAAAACATGACGTGTTTGTCGATGCATCGCGGTGAGTGGCGTCGGCGTTTTTAATCGGCGCCACTTGTTTCTAACGACCCTCCTTTGTTTAAGTCCCCACGCTGCGCTTCAACCCCACGATATTCCCAACCTCCGTTTCCGCCACTCGTCTACTCTATCCCGCAACCCGTTTCCTGTCACCCGTCACCCGTTACCCGTTACCCGTTACCCGTTACCCGTTACGCGTTACTCGTTACTCGTTACTCGTTACTCGTTACCCGTTACCCGTTGCTCGTTGCTCGTTGCCCGATGCCCGTTGCCTGTCATCCGTCACCCATCACCCATCACCCATCACCCATCACCCGTCTCTCATTTCTCCGCTACTCCGCGTGTCCCTTTTCGTGCCGTACTTTGCCTAGTTCTTCCACGATTAAACGATCGACGAGCGGCACAGCTTCCTCGTGGTCCATTTCCTCCCCTAGCTTCCTTCCGCTCTCGCAAAACAACCGTGTACGCACGATATCGCCGATATCCTCCCGCCACGCGGTTCGTCGATATCGGATAAACGATCGATCGTTCCTTTGTCGCTTCCGACCTGCCTCCTTCTTTCTCCTTCCTCCTCGACACCGAGCGTCAAAGTAGAGTCGTTAAGCTTGCCCTAGTAGCTGTCTAAAATGCAATTTCCACGGTAACGAGTCGACGATGCGCCGCTTAATTGCTTCGGTGTACGAACTTTCTCAACGATTAACGAACGTGGTCCCGATGTCTCGTTTAGAGAAACGTCCACGACTCGTAACGGTTGTTACGTCGCGCGAGACGCGACACGCGAACCTGAAAAAATCGACACCGAGTTTGTCCGAGATCTTCGAGTAGCAACGAATTTTAGCGGAAGAGCGATCCCTTGATCGGCGAATGGAAAACGAGGAAGGAAGACGAGTGAAGGGAAAGGCTGGAATTTAAAGGTGAAAAGGATCGATCGGAATCGAGTGGAGGCACACTCTGCGACTCTTGCACGGCGAGTAATCGCGTGAGATTCATTCCTCCTCGAGGCTACGTTTGTTCGACGACGAAAAGTTGCCGATAAACATCAGCTATTGGACTCTCGCCGAGTTTGTCGAATCTCGAGTAGAAAGGGTAAGGGAAGATAAAAATTGGAATTAAAATCGGTGCTCGTTGGAGGATCGATGCACGAGGCAGCGGGGAATTTTCGTTGCGAAATCTTGAACGGCTTGCAACGGGTACGGTCGAAAGGGAAGAGACCGTTACCCGTTTCGTTCAACGACTCCATTACGCGTGCAAGATTAAGCCCGTCGTATCTAATTAGGTCTGTAACGTGGCAGGTGTAAAGTATCGCCGACCGTGCCGTCGCACGGATCGGTGGGTACCGCGATTTCTGGGATTTCGTAGAGAACCGGATTTAATCTAGGCTGCGCCTGTGTACATTCATGAGCGTGTACCCGGGGTAGATATGTATAATTTACATATATAACGTAAACGCGTATATAGATGTATATATACTTACATATATGTATATTTATCGTCCGGAACGGCATCGCGTTACCGGGCTACCGTTTTCTCGAGCGACTAACCCAGAAAATACCCGGTGCTTTGTCCTCGGGAACTCGACCGCTCGAGCCTCCGCTGCCTGCTAACGGAAGGGGGAGAGAAATCGGTAAACGAGAAATTCCTCGAGAAAATTCCTCTCGCCATTCCGAATTCTAGTTAAAATTCCGGCCGCGTCGTTTCCTCGATTCTTCGGCAGAACTTTTCTCGACGAACCTCGCGAGAGGAAAGGGAACTCGCAATTTCTCCGGAACACGCGACCCGACGCGTTCACGTCGATGACACACGAATTCGCCATCGTTCCGGGCATCTCGATCACCGACCCATGCGTCGCCCGTGTCGTTTCTCCGACGACATCGGTATCCCGCGAGGATGTCGCGCGCAGACGTGTCCGAGGTGCGCGTCGTAGCTTATACTCGCGCGAAATTGCCGAGAGACGCGAATGGGGAAGAAGGAAAGGAACGGAGCGCGGGTCGAAGGCATAAATAAGAGTGATAAACAGGCGCCATCGAGAGGATAAACGGGTCGGGAAATACGTCGAGACGCAAAGCACGGGCTCGAAGACAGAGAGGAGAATAGAGCGATCGTCGAGGCAATGGACCAAGGCAGCGGATCATCGGATTATCCGGTATATCCGTAATAGAGCGAGCAAGGTACGCGAGATACGCAGCGTAGTTGGTCGCGATTGCGAGAACCGCGTACCGGAGTGCGCGTCACGCGTCGTGACATGCGAACGAGATTTTAGGAAATTAACGCGCGATGCGAGAGAACCCTTTGGAATATGGATCACCGGTAGCTCGTTCGAGACGCGAGGTCGATACGCCGAGTCGAGCGACGGAAAAACGAGCAAGGGGAACTCGAGAACGTATTCAAAGGAGGGCGCTTGCGACGGAGGAAACGCCCGTGAAAGTATTTTCCGCTTTGTCGCGCGCCTCGTTGTCGGAGAGACTGCGCGGATAGTAGTCGAGCGGCTCGTATTCGGGCTTAAATAAGCCGGACGATGGAACCGATTTCCTCTGCGATCCGTTACGCCGAGCAGACAATGCCGGCCAACGCGAATACATCGGCGCAGTTTTATCGGCTTACCGAACGAACGACAAACTTTCCCGTAAACTTTTCTTTCGCTTCCCTCTATCTTTCCCCGATCCACAGCGATTTCGTCCCTCCATCTCGTCGTATTCTCGCCGCGTAAAAATTTACTCGGCAAATCGCGCAGAATATAATTGAAACGACGCGCGACGATACCTAGAAAGCGTTTAAACGATCCCGTTAAATTCAGCTTCCGATGTACCCGTACTCTATTCGTCCGATGGTTTTACTTGTTCGTCGTTAGTGGTATTCATTTTCTAGCGTCATACGCCGCGTACCGTTCGACAAAGTCGCGCTCGGTATTTCATCGGTCGAAGGGAGGTCTCGAAGATAGTTGGAATGCCAAAAGACGAAGAGCGAGACGCAGAGGTCTACGCGACCGCGACCTTTGCCTCGTAATGCACGAATAATCGCAACTTCGATGCGCCACGTACTAAGGTATTCACGCGAGTCGAATGCCACTGAAAACGAACTTTATAGCGGCTATGCGATTCGCGAATTTAACGAAGCGTAAGAACCTACCTTGACCGTGACGGTGTTTAACGCGGAACCGAGGGTGCGCGACGCGGTCAACGACGTAAAACCCTCTCGAGATTTTGTCGTATTTCGAGATCGGTTTCGAAGTCGCCGGTGAGACGGCAATACGGCATCGCGTCGTGCGAATGTTGGTCGAACCGGGGCAAAAGAGATGCCGAAGATCTCGGCATATCGCGCGAGCAATCGGGGACGAAAGAAATTTCAAGACAACGCGTGGGGATGGCTTTGCCTCGAAGCGTTCCTTTGCTCGTTCGTTTTCGGAGCAAACTTGCCACCTCTCGCCAACTTTCGCTCTATCGGCTAACTTTCCAGCGTTCGCCCTGCCACCCCTAACCCTTTCGCGATCTTCGAGCTCGATCGTCGAGATTTACCGGAATCGTGGTATCTTCCACGATTTTCGTCGCGTACCTTTCGTCGCGCGAACCTTGAGTAGTCGAGTGTTTGAAGCGTCGAATATTTCTTGTGTGTGCCGCAGGTGCTTCTATTTCCGGAGGAAGGCTGGGCGAGAAGCGCGAGCAGTTCCTACTGGACTTTGACACCGTTCTGGTGGAGTCGAAGTCGATGCAAAGTGGTGGAAGTTGCTGGAACCCGGAGGTGAGTTTTGCATCGCGCCGCAACGTCCAAACGTATCCAAGTGTCGATGTGCTGATGTCGATTATATCATTGTAGCTACGTTAACGGGCACATTCGAAGAGGACGCGAGGAGCAATCCACGTGCACACCGTTACGACGTTTCGCCATAACCATATTCCTGCCGGGAACGGAAATTCGTGCTTTTAGGTTACGTGGTCGGAATATCTATGCCCTGGCTTGCCGCGCTTCCAGTCGAAAATTACAGGAACGATGCATCCGAAATTTCGGTATCCACTTATTTCCTCCTCGCAAACTATCCCTTCGAGTTCACGCTCCGTTCGTCGTGTATTCCAACGTACCACGACGACGCGCGTCACGCGTATTTCACTCGTATCTCCACCCGTGTCTCGACTTATTCCAAAATATTCCAACGTATTTCCACGGATTTTCGCCTATTCCCACTTATTCCGACATTTTTCTAGCCAATCGCGGCATTTTCGATACTCTCCTTCCAGTCTAATCCGTCGCGCCTCGATTAATTTTCGTCTGTTGGCTAGAGCCGCGTTAGCCGGTGTTTCGAGACGAGAAACGCGAGAAGAAAGAGAACTCGGCCGATCCAAAGTTCGGAGCACGCGACAGAGTCAACGCGGTTGAGAAATGGTTGCGGAGTACGCGTTCGAGTCGGCCGATCGTTCGTCGAAGAACGGCTAATTACTTTCAAAACTTGTCGAGAGAGGCAATTAATCGAGAAACCGATTTGCCAAGAGGGCCGACTCGCGTACAAACTTTCCACTTACTCTCGAACACACCGATTCGCGACAAGTCGGGTCCATACGTTGCCGCGGCGTCTCCTCTGACGCGCGTCCTTCGCCACGATATATCCGTCGTGGAAGTATACGTGAAGTAAGACGAAAAGACCGGAGAAAAGTGGCGTTTCGTGCAGAGCTTTCCTACATATTCCGGCGAGTAATTCCGACGAACGCCCGCGGCAGTGCGACCGCGACCAGTCTAGGCAAACAAACGGGCCGATGGAGCCTCGATTCGAACCGATTCGAACCAATTCTAACTTTCATACGGGAAAGCAAATACGACGCTGTTTGCGAGTTCGGACCGCATTCGGACCGCGTTCGCACGCGACATCGGTCAAAGCTCGGGACTTGGTTTGAAAATCCCGTTTCCTCGAGGTCGTAACCGCGCGTCGCGTAGCGTCCAGACGTTTTACCGTCGCCCGAATGGATCGCATAAGCTACGCATCGCGTGTCGATCGATACGCGCGATACATCATAGAATTTTGCGATTTTGATCGGGAAAGGTTCGCGATACGACGAGTTTGGAGTTTTCGCGTGTAACGAAGAACGGTCGTGTCGATGGCGAACGATACGGATCGAAATTCGTTGGTTTTACGTTTTATCGAGTAGCTCGCGGCACGGCGAAGCTTGGCCGAAAGAAATTTCAGTAGCGAAACAAGGAACGAAACGCGTGCAGGCAATCGATGCGAATAGGCGAAGCGCGGCGGGCAGCTCGAGCATCGAAAGGGTGCTCCGGCTTGGAACTTTCCTTTGTGAAGCGAATCGAGAACCGGAGGAAAAGTCAAAGCACCAGCCACGGTGGATTTTAAACCGAGTGTTGGATCCGCCGCACTTCAATGGAGAGCGTTTAAACTTTTAATGATCGTCGCCGGCTGAAGCGCTTGCCGGAATAAGCCCCTCGAGTCACCAGGGAGGGCAGCCCTCTCTTCCTCTCTCTCATTTCCTTTCTCGCTTATCCTCCCCCGCATCCGAAAACGGTCCAGCCACCCCTTTCTCCACCACTTTTTCCCTTTCGAGACCCTCCCTCTTTTTTTCTACAACCTTTCTTCCCTTATTAATTATTCTCGGCTCGTTTCGCGCGTACGACTCCACGCCCAGGCGGCGCTACGTTTCGTTCCCGTATCGCGATTTTCCTCTTTCCACGTATCAGCGCGATTCGCCGCGTATTTCGTTCGTCCGTTTCGATTCGCTACACCTTCGCCCGCGGCATTTATCGCAACACCGATCCTACTCGATAATATCGGTACCGCGTCCTCCGTAACGTAGAGGAAACGTTGTAACGATCGTCGGTAAGCGCGGCGCAGACAAACGCGCCGCGATAATCGTATTACTGATTTACGAAACGGTAAAGCGCTTACACCAAGACCCGAGCGAGTGCGTGTTTTTTCACGAGTAAACCGTTTCACAGATTTGTCGGGGACAGCTGGAAAATGTTGATCCGTGAAAATCGGCTAGCCGCTCGACAAGCTCGTTCCTTTAATTTACTTGGCCGAGGTCGTACTCCCGACCGTACTCGCTCTCTGTTCGTCCGGGGTTGCTTGCTTTACGTTATACGACCGATCATCGCGATTTCGACTACCCGAGTGCCTGCTGTCAACGAACATGTGCAATATAAACGTGCTTTGTTAGCCGTGGCTGAGAGTTTCCACCTAATGCGATGCGCCGTAATCCGTTCAGGGAAAATGACGAGTACCGTTATCGTATTTACCAATTACCCGTCGCTAATCGGTTACATAAATGAATAAATAAATATACATAAAGGAATAAATAAATTGAAATAAATCGATGGATCGATCGATCGATTTATTAAGCGCGTAACGTTCGCCTTACTCGTTATTCATCGCATTATTCCCGTTACAGGTACAGCACACAGGCAAAAATGGTAGACACCGGAACGGGCACGCTTTACATCATCGGTTCTTTCAAGAGAATGACCACCGATCCCGATTTCAAGGTACGCATACGTACCATTGCAGTCTCGTCGTTCTAAACGATCGAGACGACGCATCCAAAACTCGAAGCTGAGACTGGAAACTTGGAACGCGTGCAAACGCGATGCGTATGTACCTTTCGGAGGATTCGGTAACCTGAACGGTGTTTGCTTCTTTCCGTTGGCAGTTGTACCTGACGTCGAACGTGTCGTCGAGCGACTTCAACATGGGCTACAGTATGACTGGCACGTTGGAGCGTGGCTGCAAGAAGACCAACTCCTTTCAGATGACTCACTTTGCGGTAATTCGTCGTCGAGACTACGAGAAGGCCTACGAAGACTCGAATCCCACCTAGTGCCCGTCCACACCCACGCTCTCCGAGTGTGGGGATTGCGAACACTACGCGTAGAAAGAAAGGGGTGTTAACCGAATTACGCGCAGCAAGGCTCCCCTTTCGATTCGTTCTCGATCATCCGAAACACGGATGTGAAACTCGGAGAGGAGAATTCCTTTTCGATTCGCGGATCGAGCGGATCGATAAGCGGGCCAAAGTTTTCGCGTATCGCGATCTCCACGATTATTCGTCCTCGGTCCGCTTCGAGGGCACGGCAGATATATCCAACGATCGACAGTATTCGCGACTGATCGACCTTGTCGCCGACGAATATACGCGATACGAGAAATCCAAGTACCGAACGATCAAACACGCGATCAAACGTGCGAAGAAACGAGCAAAAGCCAACAGACGTCCAAAGGTAGCGTTTAACTTAGGTCGAATTAAGTAGTTTTTAACTAGCGACGAACGATACGGAAGTCGAGTATACAAAGTTATGTGATGGAGGATCGAGGAAAGCACTTTCCAAAGTATTAGCACGTAAGTTGTCGTAAATCTCGCAGGCGATAAGTTTTCCTATGCGTCCTTCTTTCGTGGTATACGCGCTGCTTCTCGTCTACCGATCGGTTATACGTACCACTTTGCTCGCGCGCAATCGAGCGCGTCTCACCGAATTGCGTCCTGTCAATGGCGAACGCCTCGAGCTTCCTACGCTTCACGCGAAACGCGCGTTCCTCGAGCTCCGCTCTCCTCGTGCCGTTCCGAGGAACCAAGCTTGCGGCCAACTTTGTCGCGCTAATCGCGCGTTTCCGCGACCGACGGTATGATCCAGTATTGTCCAGGGTTGACGATCGTCGTCGTGTGGCGGCCCTTAACTTTCAAGCGATACTTATTTTTGTTAACGAGTAGAGAGATGCACGGCCGTGACACGACGCCTTCCCTCTCGATCCGAATCGACGCGAGATCCGCACCGAGATCCACAGCGTTACACCCGACTCCACGTTATCGCGATTCCTACAATTTTTGTACCTTCGGCTTTGCTCAACGATGCGTAGTATCGAATATCAAATGCGAACGGCATAAGTGTAAGTTACGATCCACCGTAAATTAGCGTTTATTATCCACTAATACGTAGAACGCGCGTGTCCAAACAAGTTTCGCATTAATCGTACCTCTATGGATAATCGCGTTTCTACAGTCTATAGGAATTTTACAGCGAATGCTATCCCTTTCCCCTTTTCCTTCCTTTTTCCCCTTCCTCTCTCCCCCCCTCTCTCTCTCTCTCTCTTTCCGCGATTTCTTGCACTTTTACGCTTTTCCACCATCCATGACCTTTTTCTCTCTTTGCGTCTTTTCCCGATTGCACGCGTGCGAGCCAAGTAAATACCTACGATTGTTCGATGCTATTTCGTTCTCAATTTCCGTACACGAATATCGCTATTTTCACGTCCGTTCGTCTTTCTATTTACGAGATACATCTATCGCGAACGAATACGATAGGATTCCACGTGCCATTTAGTCGAGTGCTACTACGCGTTACAGGGTTTAACGGTTTTTCGCGATTCGGCGGGAACGAACGAGCTACGCGTATTTCTTATATAGTCGGTTCAACTCATCCACCTTTCTTCCGCGTCCTGTCTGTACAAAATTTTCTCCCTAAGCTTCCGTAGCTTTAGCTTTCATAGATAGGACGATTCACGGGCGTGCAAGAATTTCGTCGATTTCGTGTCTCGCCGATTCGTGACTCACCTAATAGAGAATCGCTATGAAAACAACGTATAAATGTCGATTTAGAAGCTAATAGACGGAAAAACTTGGAGAAATCTCGTTCGATGTGGTAGATGGTTAGTTTAGCGGTAGAAACGTAACGCTTTGTCTAGCAGGTATTCTAGTCGTTAGACGTAGTTCGAGTCGCCGATAAGTAATGGCGATTCGGTCGTAGATTTTGTTCGATCTTGAAGGAGGCCCGAGATAAATCGTTGTAATAATCATCGGATACGTTAGATTCGCGTGGCTTTTCCCTTTGCCTCTCTAGTCGCTTTGATCGCAATGATCGCAATGATCGCTTTGATCGCTTTGATCGCTTTGATCCCTTTTATCGCTGGATAAACGTAGAGGCGCGATATAGATATATACCGACGTATGTTATCATCGAGAAGAATTAACGCCTATTCTTCGCACGCGTTTCCCGCTTCGGTGGAACAGATATACCGAGCAGCGGCATACACTTTCGCCTATTGCCACCGGAAACGAGATCCTCGGAGATTAGTCTTACGCTCGGCTTATTAGCATCTTATCGACGAAATTAAACGAAAGCGACGCTCGGGTCTCCGGACAGACGATGTTTGCACGCTCGAAAAACGGTAGACACTTGTTATTCTCGCTCGTCGACACAGTCTCGATGTGTTCGCTTCTTTTCGAGTAGCTGATATTTAGATCTATAGATAACGACTTAAGTGAACGTATACGTCCGATATCACGGTCCCTCCTAACTACTTAGCAGTAGCTTCGACCCATCAAAGATGCACGCTTTCGTTAAACGAAAAGGAAAACGACGTTCCATTCTCGTCGGCTGCACAACGGGTCTCTAGTCAGTCTGTTTTTATCTCTCCCGCTTTCCACCTTCCGTTCGAAATCGTCGGAAATCTTTGGAAATCGTTCGATTCGGGTGTATATCGCGACGAGTTTGATATCCTTTCGTCGATCCCCGATATCCATCGCGGATCAACATTCGACGTTTCGAACGGAAAGCAGGAAGGGGCTAGAAGCGTGTCTATGCTTCTAACGTAGAAAGATTTATCAAAGTAGACGTATCGTGTAGTAGTGGTAGAAAAGTCGATGTGATCGTTATCGTTGTTATCGTCATCGCCATCGTCATCGCCATCGTCATCGCCATCATCGCCATCATCGCCATCATCGTCAACGTCATCGTCATCGTCATCGTCATCGTCATCGTCTGATGGAATTTCGTCGCGCGACGCGCATTCGTCCGTTTCGTTTGACACGTTCCATCGCGAACCACCTGGTTCGTCGATCTCGCGATCGCAACCGAATGTCAAATTTTATTTTTTTCTAGTCGGCAAAGATGGAACGATTGACAGGCTCGCGTAAACTAGCAACCAGGCGGTCGCATTGGAAGTTGGGTTGGAACGGAACGAAAGGAAAGGGATAAGGAGGAACTAGAGCGTAGTCGAGCTTCGCAGATCGTACAATCCTCGTTACGCTAGGCTATACGAGTTACGTAGATGCGGTAGACCCGCGGCAAACACGGTAGAACAGCGAATATCGCATAGTCGGCTTCTCGCCTCTAGTCAGATCTTGTTTCTTTTTCGTGCTTCTCGTCAGTCTTATCTAATCTAAACGCTCAACCTCTCGCACCTTCGCCTTCACCTACTTCCTCCGCTTCTTCTAGTTCCATAACTCGTATACATCTATAGGCAATCTATACATCCCCCGTGTAACGTAATCTCGATGTCTAGTCGCTTTAGACACGTAGAATAGCAACGATAGAAAATCCTGCAAATTAATCTTACGACTATCACCGAAGAAATTATTAATTATAATCGTATCGGTCTTAAAAATACGAACGAGAGGTATTCGTATTCAAAGCTATGGCTGTGATCCTAATTCATCGAGAAACGGTTCGTAAAAACTATATACATATACATTGTAAGTAGATTACGACGACGCATGTAGCGACAAGCGACGCGATATTTTGCCAAAACGTTGCGTTTCACGCGGTTTGTTCCCTTGCGTTCTCCTCCGATATTTCGAACACGCGTACGCGAGCCAATGTTCACCGTCTCGACCACGCTTCGAAGAACGCGTCGCGTTCTATCGTTCGGTGTCGACAGCTGCGCCTTCTTTTCTTCCTCTACTTTCCAATGACATCTTCCCGTTGGCCAATCTATTCTTTTTCCCCCGGTATCGAAAGCAACGAATATCGCCGCCGTTTCGCAAAGATCGTGGTCGTTTGGTAAGAATGAAGGAGAGAGAAAGAGGAAAAGAGAAAGGCTCGGTGGCAGCGGCGACGGCGGCGGCGGCAGCTGCGACGACGACGACGACGTCGTCGACCACACCATCACACGCATCGTGGCGAATGAAAAAAGGGAAAGAAAGAAAACGGGGTAAGGTCGCGTTAAGGTTTGCGGGGAAACATTTCCCCGTAAGGGCTCTGGCCGTTACCGAGATCGAACATCGCCAAGCCCTTTGGCCATTTCGTATTTCACGTAGCGTTTGGGAACGAAGGGTAGAAAGGGTTATCGCGCGAATAACCGAATATAACTCGCCGTGCGAGAAATCGTTGGCTCGGTATTTTCTCTAGGCACCGTTAACGCGATTCGATCACGTTCGATTTTCCGTCACCGACGTAAGATAACGCCAACAGGGACCACCCTACACGCGGTTCTCTCTCGGTCCCTGTCCCTGTCCCTGTCCCTGTCTCTGTGGAGCACCGCTCGTCGACGAGTCGACGAATCGTCGCGCCGATCATAGTTGCCGGAAATAAGCGGAACGAATCGAGTACGAGTACCGGTGCGACAAACGCATCGATGTATTTTCACTACAGTCCTGTCTACAGTCAATTCATTTTGTATTTATACCTAATCTATGTATCTATCGTCATAATTTATGCCGAAATAAATGTTACATTTACGCACAGCGGAACGATCGTCGTCTCCTTCTTCCCTCTCTCTTCCGTGTCTAAAACTTTCCATCGCGAGCAAAGACCGACTTATCGTCACGCGATCCGATCCGCGGCCAGATTATAGTTCAGATTCGGTATCGTCGATTCGACGGAAAATTTCTGTTCCATCTCCATACTCGACGGGTACTACTGCTCCATCTAACTGGTGGTTATCTCTGTGCAAGAACCGATTTATCGATAAACATTCTCGAGTTCTCCGTTGCAGCGGTAACGGGTTTATTTCCTGGAACGAACGCGAATAGATGGAAAAGGTCGCGACGGACCGAGACGCAGTGGCAACGCGACATTCTGGAAAAATATGCGTATCCCGTATAGGCCATTATCCAGTATTAAACGCGAATGCGAAACGAGTACGATTTAGTTACCGAATGTCGCGCAATTATCGAACATTGGAACGAGTATCTAATTAACGCGAACGCGGATAGCATTTGCGAGATAAACGGGATGGCGGACGTACTCGCGTGCACGCGAGTAAGAGCGACAATGCAAACGTTATTCCGACGCCTCGAAAATGCCCTGGCAATTTCGCGGAAATTTCGCGGAAATTTTGCGTCCGCCGGATCGGCCGCGTACAAAATGCGCGTCCCCCTTGGCTCGGAATAACTTTGTTTCGATACCGGTTAATTTCATTGTCTCGAAATAATACGACGGACGCGGTGAATTCGAGACGTGTCCGGCATCGGTCCGAGTATCGTAGACCGACGCTTGGAACGTTTCGCGTTTCTTCCAGGACACGCTCACGAAACGATCTTTCCCAACAGCTACAATTTTCCTAAACATCGCTCATTCTCCCTCTCCCTCTCCCTCTCGTTTTCTTTTCTTCTTCGACCCTTCCGTTTTCTCGAAAGGATTAAACGACTACTAGCGGTAACAACGGAGAGAAGGAAACGCGACTGTTTAACTGGTTTCGGCTTATCTCCGAGTTTCCTCGTATTTAAGGAAAACACGAGCGGAACCACGAGATCGTTAGGAAAGTTAGCCCAAGTGCAGAATGTAGCCCGCGTCTCGCGAGCAACGACGGTAAATACGGTCTGCCGACAGTTTGGTCTCTCTCCGGGTTTCTCCCAGCCTGCTGCGGCGGTCCAATTGTATCGAGTTGTATCGCGTGCCGCCACCCTCGTTGCCTGGAAATGCTCCACGATTCGATACGATTCCACGCGATACGACGACCCATTCCTCCTCCACGCGTACGTTCTTCTCTCTTACGTTTCGCTTTCAAGTGACACGAATAGAAAATCAACGACAATCCCATCATCTTCGTCTTCTCGCTCGCAAACTCGCGCGTTCGCACACCGAGACAGAGGAAAATCGATCGACGATCGTTGCGTCCTTTCGCATGGTTCATATCGCGAAACGGATGCTCCGAGTTTAACGAGACGTTTACTTACCATAGCCTTCTCGAAAAGTCGGGACGACCGAGATGCAGCCAAGGCTACGAGAGGGAGAGAGAGGAACGAACTTTTCGACGATTAATCGCGAGTACGAAGACGAAGCGCGTCCCAAAGTTCTCCGAAACTCGCTCTTCCTGTACGCCGTGACGGGAAAAGGTGAATCGTGTCCTCGTTCCACCTTTTCGGAGATACGGAACTCGCTCGCGATAGATCGACCTACATTCTCTGGACCGTCTTCACGGTTATTCCTCTTTGACGGAATTATCGATCGACGGTCAACGATGATCGTGTTTCCGTTTCGGAGAATTACACGCGGAAGGAGAATCCTGCCACTCGGGAACGACGAACGCGTACGTTATTCGAAGCAATTTCTAACCGATTCGCGTCGCGTTCCGATTCGCGATGGCGTTAACCACCGTGTTAACCACCGTGTTAATCACCGTGCGACATGCTCGGTTCATCGGGTCGCGCCTCGTCGGATTCGTAACAGCGTCCGCTGGAATTAACGAAGCTTCGAATCCTACTAGAGGAATTACCATATTTTCCACCTATCCGACATGTTTTGTCTCCTGTAGAGAGAGAGAGAGAGAGAGAGAGAGTGAGAGAGTGAGAGAGTGAGAGAGCGAAGAAACGGGAAAGGGAGAAAACGGCGAATGAAATATGCAAACGGCGGATAAAACGTGGAAGAGAAACGCGACTCGGAAAGACACGTTCGGGTCGAACGATTCTCGATCAACGATCTTCGCGGAAGCATCCACGGATATATACGTTTACGGCTTCTCCGTGATGCAAACGTTCGCGTGAAACGTGACCGATACGTTCGCTGTAAGTTACACGTCGATGCGAAATTCCGAGAATTAGCCACGTTTTCGAAACTCTTTCCGAAACTTCATCGATCGTCTAAGACTGACCCGAAATATCGAAACGATGCATCCCGACTTTTTCTTTCGATGTACTTTACTTATCTTTCACTGCCGGCGAAAGATAAAAGCGACGAGGAAACTCTTTTCTTCCATACCTTTTCATCGCGATCTCGTCTTCACCCGTGAAATTTGCTTTATTCTCGAATCTCGCCGAGCTCGACCTTTATCGTAACTTTTATCGGAAACAAAGGTGAGAAAAAAGAAAGAAGGAAACGCGCCGTATCGTGAATCTCGAGCGCTATCGCGTGACGTTTAACGAAGCGGAAAAACATCGCTCTTCCTCGTATCGTAAAGGATCGTCGTCCATACGATCGCGGCCGCGAAAAAGGTACGCCTCTCGAAAGCGTATGGCTACTTTGGAAAATATAAACTTTCGAAAACCGGGAACGTAGCAGTGTACGAAGCCGGGAACGAAACGAGGGGAAAGCCCGATCGTTCGCCAAGTTACCGTTGTCGGTATTATCGCGTAGGTGCTCTTATCTTTAAGGGTATACGTGGGCCGAATAAATAACGCCATTCCCTCTCTCGTACGGATCTGCGGGCGTGCGCAGACGAGATGCTTCCCTACCTCCACTTCCTCTTTTGGATGTTGATTTCGGGAGAATCGGGGGAATCGGGGGAATGGAGGGAATAGGGATGCACGATAGGCCGAAAGGAGAAACAAATACGCGGGGCACGGAGAATCATGGAGTTGCTCGAGGAGGAAACGAGCGGAACGAGCGGAACGAGCAGACGAGCAGACGAGCAGACGAGCAGACGAGCTACGCAAAGGGATTATCTTTGTGCCATTAGCTTTCGACGCGACACCGGAACTTCGTGGATATCGTATTTGCATATACCGAGGAGCAAGCGACCCTAATAGTCGGTTGAAGCGTGCGACCGCGTCTTAAACCGTTTCCATCGTCTCGTAGACCGTGTGTCTCTATAGTCCCTTTTGCCAAAAGATGGATCGATCGCTTCGGTTCGCGACCAGCTCTGTTCACTCGACGGCCAGTCGAAGCAGTTTTCGTTGACGCGTTCTATTCGCGTCGACGCGACTCGATCACGCGCCGGGGGGTTTCAACGGCAATTACGACGCGTCTCGATCATAAGACTGTCACGCGACCGCAAAATCCGTTTCGTGACGTGGGAGAACGATGGCAGCGAGATCAGCGTTTCCGCGCGAGCGTGTTACGTACTCGCGTGATACGCCATGCGTTACGCGCGTCTTTATTATCACCCCGACTAACCCACTTACGTCGTTTCGCCGATTAATATCACCGAAAATTCGAACCGAGCCACGGCTCTATTCTCATCGCGTTCGTCTTCCCGCTAGAGTTCGAGCGAGCAACGTTTAGCGTCGCGACGGATCACCGTGAATCGCCATCGAATCGCGATAGACTCGGTGGGAGCGTTGATAACGATTCGCGTGCATTTGCAATGGTAATCGGAATCATCTGAGATCGGACGCGGTGGAGGCAAGAGGAAACCAAGCCTACGTACCTTTCCTCGCGACGGTCGATCGATCGAGTGGTCGAAAGATCTCGTTTGCGTATCGTATCGATCGCTCGCGGACTAGTACGGTTTCCAACGTGTCCCACGACACGCGTCTAAATATCGAGCTCCCTTTCCGGAAGCAAAAGATTCGTTCGTCTTGATAACGACAGAAACGCACGCTGACACGTGACGGCACGCGCGAGGAACGAACTGTCACGGATGCCTTTCGTTATCTTATCGCGCAATATCTGTCCATCGTGGAATCTTCTTCCGAGAATTTGTCGGTTAATCTCGTGACCGTAACTGCCTCTGCCGGTTCCTTCATCGCCAAAGCTGTCGAGGACTGCCAACACCGTCACGGCCGTTGTCGCGGTCGTCGTCGCGGCCGTCGTCGTATAATCATCGTCGGGGATCGCGTGGACGTCGTTATAGCCTATAGGCGATATCGGAGGACAGTTTAACGCGACGCTCAACGAGAGCCTGTCGAGCAACAGAGCGCGGGCCATAACAATTGAATCGTTTGACCCGTTTTAATTGGCAAGTTACACCGCCGCGAATGAGATGCTCGCCAGTAAACGAAGCGCTCGCTAGTTTCGCAGTGTCGTTTATTCTATCGGAGGAGAGTAAACGGTCGAGTTCGATTTAATTGCGCGCAAACTTTCGACACTGCCGAAAAGCTGCGCGCGACCCGAGGATAAGGTCGTAGACGCGAGTAGACGCGAGCGCAAACGTCATCGGATTAGCGTGGCGTTTTCCCATCGGTGGCCCATTCGCGAAAACTCACCGTTCGAACGAATCCTTCGTTAGAGGACGTTCTCGATACCCGACTCGTCGAGCTTTCGCACGCTTCTTGGGCAAACGAAAAGGAGACACGCGGTGGTACTAACGATAAAATGGTGACAAACGGTGGAAACAACGGGAAAATTTCGACGATAGACGGTGAGAAACGATAAACGAGCATAAAACAGACGCGAGACGCATAATCGTGAATCGTATATGTGTTGGGCAACGCGTTACGGCGCCAAATTCGGCGCGCGTTCAAACGGACCCCGCTGGCAGCGTTCTCTATTTCGACAAGTTTCTCGTGATTTTCAGTGAGAACCGGTGGCACGGATGAAACGGCGGACATCGATAAGGCGATATCGGTGGCAGGTCAGAGCGTTTTCGCGATCCATTCGAGATCCCTTCGATCCCCGCATCTTCTCTATCGTAATTCCGTTTGCCCCTCGTTTCTTAGGCTACGGTACGTTCAACGTGTTGCTGTTCCTGGCGGCGTTGCCTGTCGCATGGACCGGCATCTTCGACACCACCACGTCCGCTTTCATCATAGCGTCTGCCGAATGCGATCTCCGGCTCACTTTCTTCCGTAAAGGTGTTCTTTCCGCGTTTCCGTTCCTAGGTACCATCATATCTTCGACTTCCTACCGGATCGACGCGTCACGCGCGTCTCCACGCTCTCGCGCATCGCCGCCGATGTAATAATAACCATTACCTTTTCTGCGCGCTCGTCATCTCGAACGCACGCAGGTATGGCGATGACGGGATTCCTGTGGGACCACCTCACACCGTACGTCGGAGCGAGAAACTTGTTCGTCCTTGGCCTTCTGGCGGACTCTATTCTAAACGTTCTCTCTACCGCTGTTGACTCTTACTACGCCTTTCTGGCCATCAAATTCTTCAGCGGTGTTCTGTGAGTATCGTTCAGCCACGCAACCGCGTCGCGACTACGCGCGGCTATCCGTAGCCCGATACGCGTCTCGCGATTCCCCAACTCACTCGAGAGATTCACGAATTTCAGAGCGGGCGGACCGTTCTCGATGGTGACCACTTATCTCTCCGAGTTTCACTCGCCGAGCTATAAGGCGAGTTTCGCTAGATGGGGAGGCCTCGCTGTAAACGCCGCGATCATTGTCCCAGCAAGTAAGCCGTAATTTTCGTATCTCTTCCGAAACTCCCGTACCATGTACAGTACGGTTCTTTCCAGTCATCGCCTTTATCGTCTCTCCCTTATCGCTCACCGTCAACATCTTCAACCGACCTTACACCTCTTGGCGGATTTACCTGTTGATCTGTTCGATGGTGCCGGTCCTCGGTCTCGTCACGGCCAGTACGTTGCCTCAAAGTCCCAAGTACCTGATGGAGATTGGTAAACCCGACGAAGCTTTGAAGCTGCTCAGAAGAATGTACGCGGTGAACAAGAACAAGCCGGCTCACACGTTTCCGGTGAGACTCGACTCGTTTCCGAATTTTCCGACTCTTCTCCCTGGTTCTAC